TTGATTTTCGAAAATTAACTCAATCATAACTCAAAAACTAAAAGCGATGGAGAAAAACTTTTTATACATAAAACCTTAGTAATGGGCCATAAAGACTAAATCCATAACAAGATTGAACCCAATTATTACCATTTTTTATTTATAAGCTCTAAACCGATTAAACATCAAAATTGTTGATTTTCGAAAATTAGGTCAATCGTAACTCAAAAACTACAAGCGATGGAGAAAAACTTTTTATACATAAAACCTTAGTAATGGGCGATAAAGACTAAATCCATAACACGATTGAACCCAATTATTATTATTTTTTATTTATAAGCTCTAAATCGATTAAACATTAAAATGTTGATTTTCGAAAATTAACTCAATTATAACTCAAAAACTAAAAGCGATGGGGAAATACTTTTTATACATAAAACCTTAGTAATGAACCATAAAGACTAGATCCATAAAAAGATTGAACCCAATTATTACCATTTTTTATTTATAAGCTCTAAATCAGTGGTGACCATAACGTCGATTGAGAAAAAAATCATAAATCTGAAATATCTGTATCTGGGCCTCAGAGCAAAAAAAGGAAGGTTACTTTAAACCCTTCATTCGATCTTGGTGATCTTGATCAAAAATTAGTGGACAACACTGGTATATATGTTCTCCAATTATTTACCGCATCAAAGTTGGCATCTAGGAATTTGTTGGCGTTGACATTTGAATCGAATTCTTTTGCTAATCTATTTTTCCCCCTTTTTTCAATGAGTTTTACACCAGGTATCATCTGGTCATAGAAGTAACTCAAGAGCATCTTTAAAATTTATTTTCTCGGCATAACTATCAAAATCTGTAGAGTCCAGTTGATCTTCCATGATAACAAAAACGGCGGAGGTGGCTTTCCACACCCGCCCTAAACTACTAATACTACCAAGCCAAGCGAAAAGCAACTACCAAGCAAAGCGAAAATCAGCAAAGATCAAATAACTTACCATAAGGTTACCAAAAATACCAAACTGATAGTGCGAGGTGAACCAAGAACGAGACGAGCTGTGGAACTGTCTAGTTCTTGCACCAATCTGTAGAGCACAGTTTTGAAAACCAAAATTAATAAAAAAGTCAAATTCCCCCAAAAGTGGAGCTACCTGGTTTTCGCCCTTCAATTGATGAATGTTGCATTGCACCAAGGTTCCTCGTATTGAGTTAATCTAATTATTGCAGACTTTGCTTCCATATTGATGACAGAAAGTAGGAAATGAATCGCCCAAATGTTTTACAAGTCATTAAGCAACTGACTGCCATCAATAATGAATGCTTTTAGTAAATTGGAAAACTACAAATCTGAATTCAACCTCAAACCCAAGCAGGAAAAGAGATGATAAGAGACTCATAAAGATCACGGATATTTTCTGAAACTTTTAAAGTAATAAAGTTGACTTTTTGATGAATCTTGTATTGCTTTTAACCAACACCATACACACTAATTGTGATACACATTTTTTTTAACACATCATTCCTTGTACTACTTGAATGCACGTAATAAATTAGATTTTTAGTTAATAGTCACACTAACGCACATAACACCACCCACACACAATGAAACTTTTACTACCTTTTGTAAAGTTATTACGACGCTTTAACTTTAACTGGAAGTGGTCATCAAAAATGTTATATATCTTTGAGAAAGTTTAACGACAAGGACGGCTTTTAAAGTTGTTATCGTCCCGTTTTAATGGAGGGTTGTTACCGAAATGGATTCTGTTTTATTTTAATACCTTCACGCATAAAAATTAATCGCAAAAAATATTGTGGATTTGCCAGCAATATCAATGTAATTCGTAATTTTATTGAATAATCGTTGCGATTTCTTTTTGTGTATGGTTAAATACACTTCGAAAGCACACAAAATTGGGCATAAATAGGTCAGAAATAGATTAAATAGGCGAGGACGGCGTAATAGACATAACTCTGGGATTAAGCCTAGGAGATTATTCGCCGATATATGCCTCGACCTTCCCATTGTACAAAGCTCAAGGGTTCTGATAAGCGCCAGAAAGTGGGTTCTTCCCCCATTCAAACGCCTCATAATCTAGGTTGCCAAGATGAGTTCGGTTACTGTACTTGAATTTGGTGCGATAATCTATTATTAGTGACATAGAAATATAGAATAAGACATCGTTATTAAGCACTTAAATACTAACTCAATCGTGCAATTCGGGTAAATAACAACGTTGAAATCCCAGTCCAATTATTTCCAGTTGAAAATCGTTTTGCTAACTTGCTCGATCACGTTTTGCAGTTGAAGGTAGAGATAGGCACGTAAACAATATCTAGGAAGTGGGCCACCTAATCGATAGACGACGAACGACGGCGACGTTTTCGAATGAAAGCTTTCAACACGCCGAAAACGATTCAAATTCGATTTTGCTGTCTGTCCTCCATCCGGTTTGATATAGTCCAAAAATTCATTTCAATACCTTTTTGTTTGAAAGCAATATCTGCCACGATATCAGCAAAATATCGAGATTCTTTTTATATTTAAAGATTAAGCTTAAATTTTAACAATTATTTACATAAACTTTAAATATAAATATATAATAGATTATCGCAGCATTTAATTAAATTCTTTGTTAGAAAAGAATTTTTTGTTAAGGAACAAATACAAATCTCAGGTTACAGCGTACACTTCTTAAATTAAATCCTCGAGGAGAAAACGAGAGCAGTGAAAAAGAACAAAAATAAGTACCTAGAAAAAGCAAATAGAACGAAATAAAACAATAGAAGAGGAAGCACAATTTCGTACTTGAGTATAATCTCCTCGACTTTTTGCGTGTAGAATTTTTTTTTTATTTTTGTGTATTATTTTGTTGGTGACCCGCTTTGATTGCGAACCCTTCCACCCTCTTAAAATACCCTATTGTGGCTCTATCACGTCCAACCGCCCTCCACGCGAAAGAAAACGAAGTATTAATCAAAGAAAATACGACATCAAATAGAAGTAGATAGATGTCGGTCGGAAGTATGCCGGAATTAATAGAGGGAACGTTTTCTTTTTATGTGATGGTGGTTGTGGATAATGTTATTGTCGTTCACGTCCCCCTTGAAACTCTTCTCTTTGATGATGATGATGGGTGTTATTTGGCATCGTGTCTTACGTAACTTTTATGTTTTTCTGTTTTTATGTGTTGTTTCTGATTTTAGCGGCGCATGTCGTCGGTACGCGCACGTAAATCACTGACCTCACAAGCCGTCGTGTGTCTGCAGGTGGGCGATGCCGAAGAGGAAACCCCCGAAGCGCTCGACATGAGCTGGCCGTCCGGCCTCCGAAAAAGGATAACATACGTCCTGTTAGCGCCTATTGTCTTCCCGTTGTGGCTCACTTTACCGGACACACGCTCACCTAGAGGTAGGAATAAGTAATAACACTAAGGTCCACTTTTACCATCCTCCTGATAAACTATCTAAGAGATAATTACCATGGTTACAGCGGTTTCAAGCTCTCTCATTGGCTTAAGATCGCCTATTTATCTATCGGATAAATTTATCAAGAGGTGGTAAAAGTGGGCCTTAATCACTAGATTGAAAATCCGGCTCTTTCAATAGAAAGTTTATAATCTGTATAAAAAATGAAGAAAATGAGTGAAAATAGTTGCTTAACCCGAAAAATGATAGTTACTATGTTTAAAGATTAATAACTCATAAACCAAATAGTTATTTAACCAACAAGTCTATTAATGAAGGCGATTAATTATCGAGACACTTTAACGCGTGAGCGAGCGAAGCGAAGCGAACGCGTTAATTATTGAGATAATTAATCGCATTTTAATATACGAGTTAGTTACAATATTTTTCCGTTGACCGTCTTTTCAACAAAATAGAGAAAATCCATCGTTGAAAAATCTCCCAATTCTGTCACTGGCAAAATAACCTCACTTTTAATGTGTCATAATTTATTTTTGTAGTCTTACCGAATAGATATAGTGGTCGGTTGGGTCGGTATTACAAATTTCATTGGAGAATATTTATTAAATTGACTACTATTTAGTTCGGTCGGACTTTCTTAAAATCGTTTATTAATAGAAAATCGTTTATTAATAGGTGTCATTAATGAATGATTTTGTATACATTTATAAATCATATAAATACACGGTCGACGGAAAAGATATTTTAAAATTCCGTTTCGTTCATTGGAAAGCTCACGATTTGTATAATAAATGCTGATAATTTCATAATGATTTAGTTAAATCCCCATTTTTTACGATTTTTTTAAAATGAGTGAACAAAATTGTTAATCTTGGAAAATGGAAAAGTGTCTTTTTATGTTTAAAGATTAATAACTCATAAACTAAAAGATATTTTAAAATTCCGTCTCGTCCATTGGAAAGCTCCTAAGTTGTATAACAAATGCTGACAATTTCTTAATAATTTAGTGAAATCCCGATTTGTTATGATTTTTTGAAAATATTTATTTATCCCGAAATACGAGAAAGTACCTCATTATGTTTAATAATTAATATCTCAAAAAGCAAAAGATATTTTGAAAATCCGTTATTTTCATTGGAAAGCATGCAATTTGTATAACAAATGCTGAGAATTTCATAATGATCAACTGAAATCACGATTTGTTATGATTTCTTGAAAATATTTATTTATCCCGAAAAATGAGAAAGTACCTCATTATGTTTAATAATTAATATCTCAAAAAGCAAAAGATATTTTCAAAATCCGTTACTTTCATTCGAAAGCTTACAATTTGTATAACAAATTCTGAGAATTTCATAATGATTAAGTGGCATCCCGATTTGTTATGATTTTTTGAAAATGAGTTAAAATAATCGTTCGTTCTGAAAAATGGGAAGGTGCTTCATCATGTTTAAAAGATAATATTTCAAAAACTAAACGATATTTTGAAATTCCGTTTCGTTCATTGGAAAACTCATAATTTGTATAATAAATACTGATAATTTCATAAGATTTTATTAAATCTACGATTTATTACGATTTTTTGAAAATGAGGGAAAATAATTGTATGTCCCGAAAAATGAGAAAGTGCTTTATTGTGTTTAAAAATTGATATCTGGAAAACTGAAAGATGTTTTGAAAATCCGTTTCTTTCATTGGAAAGCTTACAATTTGTTTAACAAATGCTGAGAATTTAATAATAATTTAGTGAAATCCCGATTTGTTATGATTCCTTGAAAATATTTATTTATCCCGAAAAATGAGAAAGTACCTCATTATGTTTAATAATTAACATCTCAAAAAGCAAAAGGTATTTTGAAAATCCGCTGCTTTCATTGGAAAGCTTATAATTTGCATAACATATGCTGAGAATTTCATAATGATTTAGTGAAATCCCGATTTGTTATGATATTTTGAAAATGAGTAAAAATAATTGTTCATTCTGAAAAATGCGAAGGTACTTTATTATGTCTAAAAGTTAATATTTTAAAAACTAAAAGATATTTTGAAATTCCGTTTCGTTGATTGGAAAACTCATAATTTGTATAATAAATGCTAATAATTTCATAAGATTTTATTAAATCTACGATTTATTACGATTTTTTGAAAATGAGGGAAAATAATTGTATGTCCCGCACAATAAGAAAGTGCTTTATTATGTTTAAAAATTGATATCTGAAAAACTAAAAGATGTTTTGAAAATCCGTTTCTTTCATTGGAACGCTTACAATTTATATAATATATGCTGAGCATTTCATCATGATTTAGTGAAATCTCGATTTGATACGACTTTTTGAAAATGACTGAAAATATTTGCTTAATCCGAAAAATGCGAAAATGTCTTGATATTTCAAAATTGATATCTGAAAAACTAAAAGATATTTTGAAAATCCGTGTCTTTCATTGGAAGGTTTCAATTTGTATAACAAATGCTGATAACTTCATAATGATTTACTGAAATCCCGATTAGTTACGATTACATTTACATAAATTACATATCGGGTAGGCGGACCACCCAACCTTGCACTGCGACCCTAAGGATCTATCGTACCCTAACAGATAACGTTATCAAATTTCACCGTGCAGGCGCAATGCGCAATTCGCAAGCAGCTTAACGAACATAATCCCTTGTTCGTGAAAAGTCATTCAGATTCTTTGGGGAGATAAACTGCGACCAAAAAATCGAAAATCTGATACGATTAACAGCAGTGGCATAAAACATGCTCAACCGTCTCCTCGTCCTCCGCACATAGTCGGCATTCAACATCGTCGGCTAGACCCAACAAGTTGAGGCGTGTCTTTAATCGGCAATGCTCAGTAAAGACATCTATCAGAACTTTAATGTTGCTACGAAAAAGTCTTAAAATATTCCCGGGTTTGACACTGGCGATGTTAATAAACAACTTAGCATATCATAGTAGGCGAAGTCTCTCTTCAGCCCATAGTTCAATTCTATGATTAGCTAACGCAAATGATACACCAACTGCTGACTCTGGCCCCAGAAACGCGTTAGCGCTGCCCTTTCGCGCTAGCTCATCTGCCGCAGCATTGCCAACAACCCCAGAGTGACCTGGGACCCAGATCAGAGTGTTTAAAGTTCTTTTACAGTCATTAACCAGAGCCGATTGTTTTCACTGCCTGCAGCGCCTGTTCTTCATCCCTCTCTCAAGAAGGACTTTAGCACCCATGTCACTAGCAAATACTTTCGCCTGGAATACAGTACATTACGTACCCAGGCTGTTAGCTTGCTATATCTGCCAAATTTGACGGCATTGATAGCATAATATCAGTGCTTATAATGTCTTCCACAGCCCATTGTTAGGAAATGTCGGAATAGTTTTGAGCATATTGCTTAAATCTGCAAATGGTAGTTCTAGCCACTTTATCTATATGCTCCTGTTCTATAAGTGAATCTTTTCTACGCAACGCTGATTCCCAGAACATTTAAGATTTTTTTTTTGACTTGTAATCTTTTGATGTTTATCAGAAATTTTCCTTCCTTTTGTTATATCTTTGGTTTTCATGGGGAAAACTTTGTTATGGCCTTTCAAATTCACTATGAAGAGCGTTTAAGCATTCTTCGGCCCCTTCCATTACGAGATTACGTTCTTAATATCTAATTTACAAAGGTCGTAAACTTTAATTTTAGAGTTACTATTCGGGCTCTGATCCTTTATTCGCATCAGCTGACCATAGTGATCCGAGATATGAAGTTGTAGTGTACTGTTATGTTGGTTTTCTTTTATAATACCTATAAATACAATATACAGAGTGTTTCGGTGACTCGGGGAACAAATTTAACCACATATACTAGAGTGAAAATGATGACGATTCATGTAAAAAAAATTAGTAAAAGTCCTCAAATTTCGAAGATACAGGCCATCAAAGTTATGAAATTTTAACACATTTTTCTAAATATCTTAAACACTATTTATGGTAATGTGCTGAAATTTGGTACAGTATAAACTAATATCACGTAATACCATTGGGTAATTTATAAGTTGGATCGGTCCGCGGGAACAATGCTATACAGGTGTTCCTAAAATTTGTTTGCTCAGAAGTTTTTTATTCGATCGTAACCCTACATTTATTTTTACACTTTCTAATAGAAAATTTATTTTAGAAACTTTTAGTACTCTTAGATAATATTGATAAAAATCACCGTTTTCGTGTTAAATGCAAATATGTTAGGTTCCGATTTCAATAACAATAAAAAAAAAACTAAGTCGGCCATGACAAGTGCAAATCGAATTGAGCCGTCATAAATATTATGTATGTAACATTTCCAAGTGTAGATTAGGTAAATCCCTTTTTAATTTGTTTTAGTTGATTTAATAAAAGATAATACAAAATAATAAATTTAATTTTAACGACAACGCTAACAGGAAAAATAAAACAAATACATAAAATAACAAGACAAGTAATAAAAAATACTATAGGAAATGTTCAAAAAGACCACATATCCCTTCTGGTATTTAACGGAACGTCACTAAGAACTCGTCCAATCCTTCCAAATGTTGATGGTATGTAGGGCCATCAAGTCTTGACGGCAAGAAAACGGGACCAACAATGACATCCCCCACAATCCCAGCCCAAACATTGAGAGAAAATCTCCATTGAGATTTCCAAGTTTTGAAAAATTTTGGATTTTCTTCAGCCCAACTACGTAAATTCCTTAAATTATTCCTTAAATATATTTTAATTATTCCATCTTTGGAAAAAGTAGATTCATCGGTGAAAAGTATTTTTTCTAAAAACTGATTATCAATTTGTATTTTCTGTTGCATTTTCTTACAATATTCCAATCTAATTGGATAATCGGTAAGCTGTACTTCCTGAACCTTACAGCAGTGAAATGGGTAAAGCTGCTGCTCTGGAAGAATACGCCACACAGTCGTTTTTGACGTCCCAAATCGCCTAGCCATGTCGAAAGTACTATTTTCTTCTGCATGTTCTAA